ACAACGATAATGAAAACCGGATGAATGCTAGAATGACTTTTGAATTATATGCTGAGTGAGACCCCTTCTTGAGGTTTTCCTCCCTGTGTTTTGTCTCTTTCAAGAAGTTGATGATTGCAAATATGGTGCCAATTGATTGCTGAGAGCCTTTCTCGATTTGGATACTAACGTCACAAGCAGCACAAATGCTCGTGCTTTCTGCTTTCGATTCTAGATCATATTTTAACCAAATCAACCAAATCCACATCATTTGCACAAGACTTTCTATTTCATTTGCTTCGCCATGGTAGCTTTGGTAGCCCAAGGCCATTGCCTTTCGAAGCCACTTGTGAAGGAACGCGTGAGCCTCAGAGACCTGGGAGCAGCTTCAGTATGTCACGTTGGGTGCTCTGGATCCAACATTTCAGGATGATCCCATTGATATAGAGTCGAAAGATGTCGAAAGATGTCGAAAGATGTCGAAAGAATCATACACGTTTAGCGTTTAGGATCCTTTAGGCAAGTCTAGCATTCTGGTGAACAAAAAAAAAAAAAAAAACTATTTTGCTCATTTTTGCTCTCATGTAGCATCACATTCCACGAAATATGTCCAGTGAGTCCAGTGTATACCTGTCGGTTACTTGTTCGACTTGTTCAGTTATTTGTCAAATATTTGTCTGGTTTGTGACATTTTGTGACATTTTGTGACATTTTGTGACATTTTGTGACATTTTGTGACATTTTGTGACTGTACCCAGATCAATGTGGATCGTTTCAGGTCCAGGTGCAAAGATGAGGACGTTACTACCAAGCTGGCCTTCTTCAAGGAAAAGTTGGCAGAGCTTCTTGTTTGATTAAAGACTAAGAGAACCACCTTCGCCTTTTGTATGAACTAAAGGTGCAACTTTCAGCAGTCTAGTTGCCTTCTTTGTTCATTCGCTCGTTTGGGATGTTTTGAAGGTAATTTTGTTCCTCAAAGCCACAACCCCGGGCTCTTTCCTCGTAAAGCTTTCGGAGAAAACATGCTTAGGTTGGATGCGGCAGAGAAGGCTTGTGAGGATTCTCGGAAAGGCTGATGGCTGACGCTTTTGGTTGTTTTCGAATGGAGGTCTTTGTGTTTGCTTCCGTGGAACACAGCAGAACTGTTTTCTGAGTTTATTTTGGTGTATCTGCTATGGAACACTTGCACCTAAGAATCTTGTCCCACCTGTGACTGGCCAAACACAGCCAAACCAGCTATCTGACACTTGTATATACAGCCTTGTCAGCATACTCCATGCACTATATATGTATTCAATCCAGCTTTCCGGAAAAACACAATTTCCAGCGTTGCATCCACACTTAAAATTATTCGAATAGTTTTTGCAGCAAGCAGACTGCTGATACAATTCTGTCGACTGAGAGGTTGCAAAGAGTCTTATGACTGCGAATCGTTGAAGACGATTTGGGAGGACGCTTTGCATGTTGACATGTGCTCCAAAGCGTAATTTCCCAGGCGGTTGAGTGTGAACTCATGAATTGTGGCTAAACCTATGACTAAGCTAGCAAGGTCAGACTACCTGTAGCATTCCAAAGTTGAGGAAATTTCAATGCATACAATGCATACACCCCATATAACTAGAAGTGATAGTGAGTTGAGATCTCTCAGCAAGAGGATTCCCCAGGCCTTTTTTTGTGCATCACCTTCGTATTCCTTGCTTCAATTGTGATCTATGACTCTTGCAGACCCAGCGGACCTGGTGCAATCGCAATCACACGAACTTCGAGCAGGTCCCCACAACCGTCAACAACCGTCAACAACCGTCAACAACCATCAACAACCGTCAACAACCGTCAACACGGTCACAAGCCAGAGTTGTGCCACTGTTTCTAGATCCGGGAATACTCAGCACGAACTTCGTGTAGCTAGTTTGGCAGGCTTTGCTCCAGATGTGCTGATATATTCTTAGCAAAGCAGCAATCAATCATCAATCATGACGGGGAATCTGCTGATGTTTCTGCGTTACTCCGTTGGATGCAAGGCATTTTTGCAGCGAAGGTTTTGGCTTTTCCAACCTATTTGAAGCAGTTTACGTGCTGGTAATGTTCTCTGAAGTTCCATTCGAGTCCTTGCAAAATAATGCGCCCTACTCAAAGTTTAGTGTGATTTTACAGCACCGTCGCACAGGGCTATTGTGACCTCGCTACATCTCTGGAGGCATTTGCTTGCGATTTCACATACCTTGCAGGTTTGCAACCTCCAATAAAACCTCCAATTATACAAATGGACTCTCCCTTTCTTGAGCGGATGATCATAGCACCAGAGATGAAAGATTGCAGGCTCAGACAATAAAGAGACCAGCCTTAAATAGTGCCTCAAAGTAGGTGTGCAGAGGCTTTCCAGGCCTACATGCCTTTGGTGCATAGAGAGTTTCAGTCTTGCTTGAACTTTGTTTCGGTCTTTGCAGTTCACATCTTCTATCACAGGCAAAGTGGGACTCCTACTACCACTGCCGGGATTCCTGTCAAAGCCAGCACATGCCAGTACTCATACATGAGGAGGGCCATTTGGAAGAAGGGACAAAATTGAACAGGTTGGACGGTTGCAGGCTCTTTGGACTCAAACAAGCCAGGGCCGGTTTCAAACAAAACAAGTGTTTCAAAGCAGGGTACTTTGACAGCTTTGACAGCTTTCACAGCTTGGACAGCTTTGACAACAGCATCAGTGCTGAGGCTATGATACCAATTTCAATGCTCTCTATGAGGAAGAGTACACTCAGATGGCCCAGTTGCCAGGCCGTGAGCAGGACAGATGCTGCGAATCGCTGTGACACTGACAGGATTCCAGAATCTAGTTCTGGATACCCACAACATCCCACAACATCATTTGATAACTGCAAACATATGCAACAATTATTTTACGATGAGTTGGGTTTTTTCAAAGTTTACAAGTATGCTTTGTCAGCAATTGCAGGCACCGGGGTGTCGCTGCTGTTGGTGTAAGTTTCACTCTTTCTCTCAGATAGTTCGAAGGCTTCTGGGAACCTAAAACGGTGATGTTGGAACTGTTTGAGATCTAAAAACTTGTAGCTTCTGCGTTGCAGAGATGGACTAGCTTGGAGTTTTACTTGTGTCAAGGAGGTGACAGCCTGTTCCAAGGAAAAGATTGCCACATATATAATTTAAGTTGATTACATGTATCATAATTCAGTTTATGTAAAAATGTTGTATATATATATGTATGTATTATAGATAGGTTCCATTGAACATGCATATTCAAGGCTTGAGTAGTGGTTTTGAGAGTTGTGTGTAGAAGTCTTGAGAGTTGTGTGAGGGTTTGGCGTGTTCTAGAATTCTGGGTGCCAAGAAATTCTTTGTGGTTTTGGAAGATTTGCCATCCACTGTATGATTTTTATGTGTTTGTCAGCTGCATGTCACTTGCTACGATTCTTTGAGCAGGAGTGGCGCGCACTTCTCCGAATCGACAGTTTGTTGGGTGCATGCCTTGGATTTAAGTCGGAGTTAGTCACAGTTAGTCTCTCCTTCAAAGTCTTTCCTGTTACCCGCCAGCAAAACTGTCGAGCACACGTTGGGGTCTGTTCTTTTGTGGAAAAACATATATAATTCTTGTGAATCGAAGATCTTGGAAGATCTTGGAAGATCTTGGAAGACCTTGGATATCTTGATCTTCATTAAATCTTCATGATCTGGATGTTGGCCCGCTTAGGTGCACTGACATCTTCAGCTCCTTGACCTGAGTATGTTTTCAGGAATCAACTGATAGAATCAGATCTCAAACACATTCAAGCACTGTGTCTGCAGAGAATTCTCTATACTCTAGACACATCCTTTCCTTCATGATTTGCACAAAACGAGCTGGCCAAAGCGTCAATGCAAGGCCACACTTTCAAGCAGCTGTAGCAGCTATATATTCATAGCCTGGAAGGGATGAGTCACGAATTGCACAACTCAGGATGCTACAAAAGCTCTCCAGGCCTGTATAGACAAGAAATACACGCATGAAGACTGGGCTCATTTGGAGCTCATGCATCCTGGCAGAAACCAGGCAAAGCTTCTTTGGACTCACTGTGGAAGCTTTGAGAGGAAGCTCTTTTTGTATGGGATGCACTGTTTGGCTGGAAATTTTGGCAGCATCCTCTTCCTTTCCGAAACATTTCGAGAAGGCATTGTGTCCAACTGTCTGTTTCCGCGCTGCACCAAAAAATCCTGACAATATCCTGCTTTTGATATTTTTGCAACTCTTTTTACTTCGTTTCGTTTTCCTTTGAACATCTTAGAACCAAGGTATCCAACATACGACGCCAGCTTTACTCCCAGGGCACACTGCACAGAGGAGTTGCAGGAGCCTGGCACCTCGTGCCTGGGCACAATTTTGCGAAATCAAAGGCAGATGTGGGCAGATGTGGTATGTGGATACGTATAACATGAGATATGCGTGTTTGCACATGGTGTCTATAGAATTCATGCAGAAATCATCCGAAAATTGTATATACTGCTACTGTATAACATGAAGATACACACACACACATATGTATATATATAAACATATATATATATATATAAACATATATATATATATAAACATATATATATATATATAAATATATATAAACATATATATATAAACATATATATATATATAAACATATATATATTTATAAACATATATATATATATATATGTATAAACATATATACAAACATATATATAAACATATATACAAACATATATAAACATATATATATATATCTAAACATATATATATAACTATAATAATATATATATATATCTAAACATATATATATAACTATAATAATATATATATAAACATATATATATATAAACATATATATATATATATATATATAAAACATATATACAAACATATAAATAAACATATATACAAACATATAAATATATATATATAAGCATATATATATATAAGCATATATATATACATATATATATAAACATATATATATACATAATGTATATAAACATACATAATATATGCATATAATATAATACAGATATATATACTAATTATAATATGTATATATATATATATATGTATATACACACTATACATAACATACACCCATTACATACCCCTGGGCAGCTGGAACCATGACGGCAGCAATTACTGCTTCTGCACCCACTACGACCACCATCACCAGCACCACCAGCAGCAGCAGCAGCAGCAGCAGCACTAGCACTAGCATCAGCACCACCATGTGATCTGATATGTAGTCTATGATCTAAGATACATGGTTTATATGATATACTGTATGGTGCGACAAATATCATACCATGCAGCACAAGTCAAACGTATATACTACGGAAAAGGATGCAAGCGGACGAGTGGCTTATGCGCTTTCTGATTTGCCCAACACATTTTCTTGCTTGATTGTATATATATACACATTTTATACGTAGACATATCATTTTTCAGTAGGGTCTATGTAAGCTATGAGATAAGTGATGATTAATGAATCACAGGCTTTCTACTTTGTGTTTCCCTCTGCCAGGATTTTTTCTCAGACGTGGTACAGCTCGAAGTCCCGTGACTATGGTGCTCACGCCTTCTTGTTGATCCCAAAGTCCTTGAGCACATATGGCTGTGTTTGGAACCCAGCTCACATATGATCTTTGGCTCGTTTGAACGTTGTAGAAATGAGCTTCAGCAGCTTCAGCAGCTTCAGCAGCTTCAGCAGCTTCAGCAGCTTCAGCAGCTTCAGTTTGGCTCTTCTTGGGATTCGCTGTGTACACCTGAAGTTGATGCATGGAGATCATTCGACCAATGACCAAGACTGACATCTCTTTTCCTCATGATTTGTTGCAATTTCAGGATATACCCCGATTCTAGATTTCTCTGTCCACTGTTCTTAAAAGTTTACGTGTATTCGAGTGTGTGGGAACACATCGCCCTTTTCGGGCCTTTTACAGGTGTCTGGCATCAGCTCTCACTACTGTCCTCGGGTATCGGACGCTACAGCGCTTCTGACTGTGTCCAAGAAGGCTCCTAGGATACAGTCGGTGTGGAATGGGCACAGGGGCATCATGTATCAGGAGACATGGCATGATGGTACTGGTTGACATGACAGGAGGGGATCTGACACAGTATGCAAGTCAGTAGTCTGAGGTCATTTACTGCAGGTTGCATCAAGAACTAAGCAGCTATCACTAACCGTGTGGTCCACCAGAACACAGACGTGAAATTGATTTGTCGGCGACTAATTCTCTAGGAGCCCGACTGGGCTGGAATAGAAGGTAACTGAACGAAGAAGGCAACAGGTTGAGGTTGGCAGCGAAGTCACATCCTATCATTTTTGCAAGCCTCTGTAAAGCCTTTGTAAAGACTCTGTAGAGCCTAGGCATTGCGTGTGCTCAGTTGGAAACATCGTTCAGGTGTCGCCTGGCCACCGATCGAAGGCAAAGCACGTACAGCACCCCGCAACTCGTCCAACTCGTCTATGACAAGTGCGGTAGCTGCAAGGGCTGCAAGAGCTGCAAGAGCTGCAAGAGCTGCAAGAGCTGCAAGAGCTGCAAGACTAGATGCTTCTTTTCACACATGCTGTCAGACAAATCGGGCATTTACTTGCACAAATTTGCACAAGTCGAGTATCATGGTGTTGCAATCTAGGTCCGTGCAAAGACGCACTGAGAGGCTGAAAATCTGAACGCAAGAGGACCCTGCTAAGTTAGTTGTGCAACTCTTTGGTCGATGCACGTGGATGCAGCAGAGTCGATCGTTTGAGTGTTGGTGCGAAGAATGCACCTGGTGAAACTGTCAAAGATGGACTTATCACAGTTTTACCAGGCGAAGCAGGAGTCTTGAAAGCCACGAAGTCTAGGAAGCTTTCACAGCTTTTGGAGCTGAGCAGAGCGAGAACCAAAAAGATATTCGGTTGACATTAATGTCAGCCTGAAGTTCCGCATTTGGAGAAACAGTTTGGAAGAGTTGAGCGAGTTGCAACATTTGTCAAGCTACTAACTCTATGCTGTGCACGATCACGGCTCTTTTACCAAGACTCAAACTGCACGAAATACGCGTTTCCACTGTTTCCACTTATATTAAAGGGTCCTTCACTTGTTTCAAGTTTATGTCGCCACATGTCGCCAACAACTTCTTGCTTTGCTTGACAGATCTACAGTGAATCTACAGCATGATGCTGGACTATGATATTGTACTATATTGTACTCAAGTTTTGCATGACAAAGGATGCTTCAGCTTGGTGATTAGCAAATGCAGAGCCCTTGCCGTTGCGCCATGTCCAGCGCGCCTTGCGCCCGCGCCTTTTCTTCACCTGGTGCTGATACCCCGGAGAAGGAAAGCCACAGGTGCCATTTGTTTCACAGCCTTCGAAGCATGATTGTTTTGGGCTTTGCCCTGGTTGGGCAGCTCCCGCACATATTCTTGAAGGACCTGTGGTTTCTTGCAAGTGGACAGGCAGAATTCTGAGCCCTTTGACACGCTTTGACCGACCAAAACCCTCCCCAGCGTGGGCCAGGTGCCTTTCTCTTCCTGCTTTTCATGCGGTGGCGAAGCATGCAAACCTGAAGGATGCTACCGACGCCACTCTACCACTCGCCTTTTGATTTAGGAACTTATTTTCGTTTCTGAATTAGTTGTATGACCATAAGTAGCAGCCAAGCTAACGAACGGTTACAGCACTGATTCATTTACCTTCCCTTGGGATCACAAATGGTTCGAATGTGAGGTGTTCATTCTTGCTTCTTCTGGGCAAAATAAAGCTTCGAAGCAAAGTCACAGAGGGCTGTTCAAAGAATTCAAAGTGAAGTGGCAAAAAGATGCAACAAGTTATTAAGAAGATGTGTCGGATGTGTCAAGTTATGGGCCAGAGATTTGGTGCGGAGGAAATAGGGGCTGCAGTCTTCGTCGCAGCGCTGACACGACAGGCAATGGAAATTGATGTGGGTCGAAGTTCGAAACGGGAAACGAGGTCGAAACGAGGTGAAAGTCCGGTGAAAGTTTCAGTGACAACAAGTGACGGAGTGGACTCTTCTGACTGTGACGTGTGTCATGCGAGGCCTTGACGCGTCGTCGTAGACGATGCTTGCGCAGGCCAGAAAGCATACGGAAAGCGCAGCTACAGCATTTCCAGTCCTTTTTTCCAGTCCTCTTTTTTCCAGTCCTCTTTTTTCCAGTCCAGTCCTCTCTTTTCCAGTCCTCTTTTCCAGTCCTCTCTTTTCCAGTCCTCTCTTTTCCAGTCCTCTTTTCCAGTCCTCTTTTCCAGTCCTCTCTTTTCCAGTCCTCTCTTTTCCAGTCCTCTTTTCCAGTCCTCTCTTTTCCAGTCCTCTCTTTTCCAGTCCTCTTTTCCAGTCCTCTTTTCCAGTCCTCTTTTCCAGTCCTCTCTTTTCCAGTCCTCTCTTTTCCAGTCCTCTCTTTTCCAGTCCTCTCTTTTCCAGTCCTCTTTTTTCGAGTCCTCTCTTTTCCAGTCCTCTTTTTTCCAGTCCTCTTTTTTCCAGTCCTCTTTTTTCCAATCATCTCTTTTCCAGTCCTCTTTTTTCCAGTCCTCTTTTCCAGTCTCTTTTCCAGTCCTCTCTTTTCCAGTCCTCTCTTTTCCAGTCCTCTCTTTTCCAGTCCTCTTTTTTCCAGTCCTCTTTTCCAGTCCTCTTTTCCAGTCCTCTCTTTTCCAGTCCTCTTTTTTCCAGTTCTCTTTTTTCCAGTCCTCTTTTTTCCAGTCCTCTTTTCCAGTCCTCTCTTTTCTCCAGCCCTCTTTTCTCCAGTCCTCTTTTTTCCAGTCCTCTTTTTTCCAGTCCTCTTTTTTCCAGTCCTCTTTTTTCCAGCCCTCTTTTCTCCAGTCCTCTTTTTTCCAGTCCTCTTTTTTCCAGTCCTCTCTTTTCCAGTCCTCTCTTTTCCAGTCCTCTCTTTTCCAGTCCTCTTTTCCAGTCCTCTTTTCCAGTCCTTTTTTCCAGTCCCCTTTTCCGGTCCTTTTCCAGTCCTCTTTTCCAGTCCTTTTCCAGTCCTCTCTTTTCCAGTCCTCTTTTTTCCAGTCCTCTCTTTTCCAGTCCTCTCTTTTCCAGTCCTCTTTTCCAGTCCTCTCTTTTCCAGTCCTCTCTTTTCCAGTCCTCTTTTTTCCAGTCCTCTCTTTTCCAGTCCTCTTTTCCAGTCCTCTTTTTTCCAGTCCTCTCTTTTCCAGTCCTCTCTTTTCCAGTCCTCTTTTCCAGTCCTCTTTTTTCCAGTCCTCTCTTTTCCAGTCCTCTTTTTTCCAGTCCTCTCTTTTCCAGTCCTCTCTTTTCCAGTCCTCTCTTTTCCAGTCCTCTTTTCCAGTCCTCTTTTTTCCAGTCCTCTCTTTTCCAGTCCTCTCTTTTCCAGTCCTCTTTTCCAGTCCTCTTTTCCAGTCCTCTCTTTTCCAGTCCTCTTTTCTCCAGTCCTCTCTTTTCCAGTCCTCTCTTTTCCAGTCCTCTCTTTTCCAGTCCTCTCTTCTCCAGTCCTCTCTTTTCCAGTCCTCTCTTTTCCAGTCCTCTCTTTTCCAGTCCTCTTTTCCAGTCCTCTCTTTTCCAGTCCTCTCTTTTCCAGTCCTCTTTTTTCCAGTCCTCTTTTTTCCAGTCCTCTTTTCCAGTCCTCTCTTTTCCAGTCCTCTCTTTTCCAGTCCTCTTTTTTCCAGTCCTCTTTTTTCCAGCCCTCTTTTCTCCAGTCCTCTTTTCCAGTCCTCTCTTTTCCAGTCCTCTCTTTTCCAGTCCTCTTTTTTCCAGTCCTCTCTTTTCCAGTCCTCTCTTTTCCAGTCTCTTTTCCAGTCCTCTCTTTTCCAGTCCTCTTTTTTCCAGTCCTCTCTTTTCCAGTCCTCTTTTCCAGTCCTTTTCCAGCTTGCGCCTTGGAACCTTCAAGGTGTTGCGCAGAGCAGCATTCCCGGAACCAGGCGCGGCCAAGGTATGACAGGGTGCAAGTACCTGTGTCTGAGCAGGGCACCACACTAGAAATGCCACTCAAGTGACTCAAGTGTCATGAGTGCCAGGAGCCAGTGAATGGTCAGCCTGGAGAGAGGCAAAATGACTGGGGAGCCTTGGCAATTCATGGACCAATCACCAATCAACTTTACAAAATGCAATATTCAAACTCCTTGAGTATCTCTGAGATGAAGAATCCCTACACACACCAAGAATTCTTGCCACATATTCCAATTGCTTACGAAGTATTTGGAGTCTCACAGACTCAAAAGCTTTTCAACGCAAAAACTATTCAAAATATCATCTTGGCAGGCTTCGCAGTTGACAGTCTTGGCACTTTCCTTTATCCGCATTTTACATCTTTTATCTCAGGACGTTGGGCAGCTCTGGCTGTTACCTTTGCTGTCGTGCTTGCAGTGGGGCACCCAAAGCTGAATCTCACGACATCCGCAACAACATATTGCAAGTCTCAAGACTGGATTGCGTATGAGGTTTGAATGTAGTTTGTGGCCCTCTGCAGACTAGATTCTGAAGAAATGTGTAGAAATGTGTAGACATGTGTAAAAATGTGTAGAACACATAGAACGACGTGCAACTGTGACAACGTGGATCGCTGCTCTGAAGGTTTGGCCTACCGCTGCAGATGCAGATGGAGGCACTTGGCTTCTACTCACAAAGTTTTTCAGGACTCGTAAAGTATCCTTTTCCTAAAAAATCCAAGAGACTATTGAAGAGGCTTTAAATTTAACAGGCATTTAATAGTCTCCAGCTATTCCGCCGGCCTCGGCCCAGTGACCCAATGGATGTGGGCGAAGCCTGTAGAATGATAAAACGTCTTATGCTGATTTAAAAGTTTCTTGGTGTAATCAATGATGCTTCAAATTCAAATCACCCACTTGCAAAACGAACAAGAATAGCACGAACAACCAGAAATTCTTTGAACAACTTCTGACTTGCTTGCTGCAGGATGGGCACCTAGAAATGCACCATCACTCTATTTCAAAATTTGCAAAGTACATTTACTGTACAGTTTACAGAAGGCTGGTGCATCGCCATTAGTCTGACAGTCGTGTGAGCCGTGGTTGGCACAGCGGATATAGTGGGGTTTTGTAGCTCCCAGTCTTTTCTCAACCGCAGCAAACACTGGATACTGCCCATTTTCCCAAATTGCACTCTGCATGAATGTCATTTGAGTCCTAGAATCGTTTGGATTGTTCAGGATGTTCAGGCCCATTGGACCTGCTTCGGGATGTTTTCGCAGTCCTGCTGAGGCTCTCTTGACATGAGCGGCATTTGGCAAAAGGCAATCGCTTGGCTGGAAGTCTTGGGTCGCGGATTTTTCATCTAGAGGTCAATGGCTAGATCAGTTGTTATTGCTTAGCTGAATACTGAATTTGCCAAGTACCTTTTTGAGGCACGTACTTCGCATCAATGCAGTGTCATCATACAACCATACAACATGTAGCTACAAGTTGGAGCCTAAAAAGCAAAGTCACGCCTGGGAGTCCTTGGGTGCTGTTTCAGCGCACATGTCTGGTGTAAAATCTGGAGCCAGAGGCAACGGGACACCTTTAGGGCCAAGGATAATGCAGGTTTGGAACGTTTTGGAATCATTAACAACATTTGAAATTAACATAAATTAATACATGCACATACCAATCACATACACCACATACACCACATACATCACATACTCGCAATATACTCGCAATATTCGCAATAGGGACTTCGTACAGTATCTTCAGCATTTCTGTGGCAGTTCAACAGGTGTGCATCGCATTTGCATTCTGCTTTGCTCTCCGACCAGGCTTTGAACAGTGCAGCCAAAGGTGGTGCAGCCGGACTTGTTGCAGGTTTCCTGCAGGCACCATTTTCAAGACCATTTCCCTGGCCAAACATTGGCTGCCCTAGCGGCTAGCAGCCCTAGCACTGAGCACAGATTGTGATTTCGCTCAATTTGTGCATGTTCCTATGATTTACTATGCTTCATTATTGCAACAGATTTGAACGGTGGTGCAGTCGTTGCAGGTTCTTAGCTTTATGTGGCTACGAACAGTCTGGGACAAAGTTATGGTTGCGGGATGTGCATTGTTGCCACTCAGCAATGCCATGGACAAGCCAAACTTGGAGTATGAGTAAGCTGCTTTAATTTTTATGATTTGCAAGAACAAGTGAACCATCTTTATTTAGATTATTTAGTCACCTCTTGTGTTTGGCCCACCTCCTGACCTAAATATTGATAGTGTCCAGGAGGACAAGCTATCTTCACCTTCCCCAAAACCGATAACTTATATTTTGTTCCAGGCGTAAACAATTGATTTTGACGGTGCCTCACACTTTGCTTTGCAACCTTTTTTTGCTTTTTTTCTTCACTACACCACTGGATCTTTTAGTGGGCGAACGTGTTGTGGCGACGTCACGGACATGTTTTGGTGCTTGTTCTACATTGTTCTTGTAACCGATGAAATCCATTGGAGTTTCCGAGCTCTTTTCTCGAAAAATGTTGCTCAACCTGTTTAGAACCTCACAGAGAGGGAACCTCACAGCTGTTGTCAGTTGGTGAGCTCCCATCTCGAGCATCTTGCTACATCTTGCTACCTACTTACCTACCATTTGTTTGATAAAGTTGCTCCTCCAGTCCGCCTTTGAGAAAAATGATTTGGACTGGGTATGCTAGTGACTCCACTCAATCTCTCAATAACCTTCAGAGCTTTGCTCAATGCCAAAAGTAGCTTCATTTCTGCATTTCTTGACAAGAACATAGCACAATTTGGTCCACTGCAGTTGTGACCATCGATTTGTTTTGACCTCACAGGGAGCCATTGCTCTGCTTTGGGTGCTTGATGGGGGAATTCTCCAGACTCAACGGCAATATTCTGTAGTACCTACTACCTAGATACATGAACCCCGCTTTCTTTTGACCCATTGAACCCGTGTTTCATTGATTTGACATCGACAAGGATGCGTTGTTGTTACTTAGTTTGTTGAGGCCATGAACTACCAGTATGCCTCTGGCGGCAGCTTGACTCTCAGCTCGGTATTTGCGACGAGTTTTTCAGACATTGGAGGAGACTAAAGAGCAGTAAGGCAGTTCTGACTGTAAGATCTGTAAGTATGAGGACCAATGAGGGAAGGAAAGAGACTGGGATGCCTTGAGCTGGTGACCAGTCAAATGAGCTGTCAAATTTGCATGCACACTACTGGGTGTACAGTGCACTGCAGTGTGCAGCAGACTCGAGTTTCAAACAGTTTCAGCAGTATGCCTTCAGTTCAGTCCAGCCATGCTGGACTTGCCTCTCGCTTTAAAGAGCCTAAATCATGACATACTGACAGTGGCACTCGGTGGCTGCTCTGAGGGATTTTTCTGATATTGTCTGCTTCCAACCGCTGGCTGTTCAGGTTTGTCCATGGCCTTGAGCCGGGACCCGAGGGGGAGCATTCGTGGCCTTTTAGATTTGAATTCGCGCCCGGGTGAGGGTACTTCTGAAATTATTGGTACACAGAAAAGCAAACAAACGAATCTCAAAGAGCGACTGCCGCCATAGATTTTGTATGATTTTGTGTTTCGCCATAGCCAAGGGCTCAAATCATCACGTTACCACAAAGGGCCAGAGATCAAACACCTCTCAGAACCAAGCTGAGCTTGATACAACATAAATGAAATACAGTGAGTGTACAAGCAGCACTGTCACAATCAAAACTCTAGCACTTTTTCTGATCCTAGCTTGCCGATTTGAAAGAAAACACTTCCAGAAAGAAGAAAGAATTTGAGAGAATGATTCATACTTATTTTAAACTTATTTTCATGTTGCACCTCAATTCATGACGCAGGAGCTCCGGAGGTCGGGGATGTGCGTCAGCATTCCTCAATAAGAATGGATGATAATGAAAGAACGATATAGAGCGAATACACATCGAGACTTTGCATGATTTCCTTATTGGCTTGACACTGTGTTGCTGTGAGCTCTGATTTGACTCTGCAAGATCCTTGCCCAAATTTCTTTAAAGATTATTCTCAGGATCCGGGTTTTGAATCCCGGTACAAAGAGACATCATGAGATGGCTGAATCATGGACGGAACCACAGGAAAAATAAGTTATGCGCAATGTAAAAACATGTAAAGAGCAAAATCAAATGGTCGAGTCGTCGACAGTCGTCGACAGTCGTCGAGCATCCGAAGCGTCAAGCGGAGAGGTCGAAGTGGCACCTGTACTGGGATGAGCCGCCTCGGACTCGCCTTCCTCGCCGGCTTCGCAGGTGCCGGACAGGTGCGGCAAAGACAGGTCTGAGATGGACTTGAAGGACTTGATGGACTTGAAGGACCTGAAGGACTTGATGGACTGATCATGTTTTGCTCTGAGAAGTGTCATGAACGGAGGGAGCTTTGCCTGGCCAGCTCCATACTTGGTATTGTATGCTCAGTCAGGTCACCGTGGTTGCGACTTCTTGCTCTCTACAAGATCTTGCAGAGAATTGGAGGACTGGACAAGATCATGACGGAACAGGTGCAAGTGTGTGACACGGTATGTGTATTTTAGAGTTAGTGACCAGTGGCTTGACTTATTCGATTTGATACCAAAATACACAAGAAAGTCACTCATGATGTAACAACGATGACGACGAGGATGGTGATGGTGACGGCAATTGTGATGGTGATGGTGATGACGATGATGACGATGACGATGAGGATGAGGATGAGGATGACGATGATGATTCTGATTCTGATGAGGATGATGGATTGTTTTTTTATGTTTTTTTTTTTTAAGATTATGATGATGATGATGAATGATAATTATTCATTCCATATACATCCATATACATACATATATGTGTACACATACATATGATGATATTCTGGTCGCTTCGCGACAACAACTTCGTGGCATAAACGCATCTATGTTGCGTCTAACTTGAACCCCAGCTGGGCTACATTGAGCCTATGTTACATCATTTAGACCAATGTTGAGCCCATGTTTTTTTGGACCACTATACGATCTGTATTGTTTGGCAGCTTAGCTTAGCAGATGTGTGTCTTATGGCCTGCAGGCCCGGATGCTGAGCATAGTTTGGCCCTATTTGACACTTTTTGGGCCTTGCAGAGCAAAACCAGTCATTTTAAGCTGCATTTTCGCAAGTTTCTTGCGAACAATAGGCTCAGACACCGGGGTTCTGTCATTTTTAAACATCACTTTGGGCGCAACATTGGCATGGCCTCCTAGATGGTGTATCGGATCAAATTGAAACATTATATACATCATTAAGAATCATTGAAAAATCATTAAGAATCATTAAGAATCATTAACCATAACGAAATATGTGAGGAATAAACAAAAAGGACGGAGCTATGCGAGGCGAGTTAACAGGGGAGATCATCTTCCTGGAGAACTTTTGAGCGGCTGTTTGGCAAAGAAAATAAAAGGATCACTGGTAGCGGATGCTATTAATATCTATACATTATGCTATGAATGCTATAGGCCAATCTGAAAAAAATAGACTGACTTCACATTGAAGTGTTAGATAGTGTTAGCACAATGTTGGCACAGCAAGTGCCGGCCCTTCTGATACAACACTTGGACTATCATTCTATAATCATTCCTGCTTATTCCTGACAGTCTGTGTTCAGAGGTTAGTGCATGGCAAGCATGTTTTTTTTGAGATCACTGACAAGGCTGGATGTTTCTCTGACTCTTCTGACTTGCGTCTCTGAATTTTCCCATTGCAGGAACCAGTTTGTCCCCGCTGTCCACGTTGCAGTATTGATCCGTTCGTTGAGCGCTACGGCGGTCGTTTGCTCGGAGGGGCTGAAGCTGAAGGTACTTCAGGCCGAACGCGAATGGGAGTTACTCACGGAAGTCTTTTTGCAAAGTGTATCATGAATCATAGTCGTATTGTTCCGTATTGTTCTATTGTGTTCACTAGCATTCTGTGGCAACTTGAAGTTGTTTCAAAGTTCCCAGCAAGCTAGTGACATTGACAACTTGCGCTTGAAGAGGCAATTTCTTGCACAATGCTTACAGAACAACTTGTATCAACTGGCAGCTGCCTTTTTCTGTGAACTTGTTATGTCTCTTCGCCAGCTGAAGGTTCCAGGAACCAGTTTTTGCAAAACAGTTTAATCTAATCCTGGGTCCTGGGACCCAGTGCTGCTGGAACGCCAACTTCAGCTTGCTGGCAGGATCCACAGAGCCTTCAAGCTTGTGGGATTCTCAACGGCTAACGCCAATCCTCTTTGCGAACTGTGTGATCATAGGCCCTTGGGATGGAAAGACAATGGACATTGCAACCGAGTCAGCACAAAATTGGCAAAATGGGAATATCACAGCAGAAAATCTGTTCTATCTGCAGTTCAGAAGCAACACTTTACAACAGAGCTATAGCAGGCAGCGAGTTCAAATGGTCATTAGAATGCGTAATCGTAGCATTCCAATCTGTGTCTTGTCATTTGGGCTTCGAATTCAAACATGGGAGTCCAGTCCATAGTAGGGGCAAATGGCGACCAGAAACTCTCATATGAATCGGAAGGCCTGTCTGCTGGTCTTGCTGGCTACGACCATGGTGCAGCAAGTGGCGCATTGCAGAACCTGGTGGCTCTAAAAGGCAACGGGCTTCTGCTAACGTCTTGCACCCTGAAGAAATAGTTTTTATTCTGAGCTCATATCATCTCCTATCATCTCATATCCCCAAATTGAAATGGAAACGATGTTTGAACTAATCTTTTTGTCCACGGTCAGCAGTGTGAGAAGGTCTGCGGTGCCGTTGACGAGACAGTGCCTGCCAGGTTTGAAGCGCCAGCGTCATTTTGGACCTCTCCTCCAAGGATGGGTCCGAAGCTCAGCGAAAAACGGCGATTCGGTGATTCGGTGATTTTTGGACATCTGCAATATCGCAGGATGGCCCATTCTATGGCATAGCGGCATAGGGATGCAACATGGTGATACATACAGCCCGTAGGGCACATAGATAGTGCTGGCATAGGATGGCGCAGCGAGGTGGTGGCATCAGCCTGGGTCAGCAACATCATCGGGAACTTGAGTGGTTACTACATGCCCACCCCACGGATTGTCTCCCTGCAGCAGTCATTTGTTATTTTTCGTCCTGGATTGCTCCAATTTTTCTTCAGATTTCTTATACGGGAATTGCATTGTGGATACTTTCTCGATGCATAGGGATGCTGCTGCCATTTTCCCTCCTAGTAGCTGAACCATCAGCGTGAAGTCTCAAAGTGCAAGGCGCTGATTGTCGCGGGGCTGCTTGAGACCTCCGGCAGTTTACTCACTGGCTTTGCTCCAACTTTGTCCTTTCTCATCATGGGCCGTCTCTTGGCAAAACTGGTAAACAGAGAAACAGAGCAGGCTTTTGTTGGGTATTGGCAGAAAGCAGACCAAAGTGGATCCACAAAGAGAGCATACTTGTTTTTTCTTGCCTTTACTTGACACATCTTGAGCAGATCTCCAGATTTGCCCACCTTTCAGAAGAGGTTTGGTCAATGGCTTTGGCCTTGGTCTCAATGCAGTGGCTGTTGCCCAGTACGTCAGCGAGGTTGCACCCGCAAATGCAAGAGGCACATTTCGGAAGCGAATAGAAAAAACATGAAAGCATGTGCACAATTGTGCAAAACACCACAAGAGCTTGGAGCATCTTGGAGCTTGTCTGATTTTTCTTTGACTTTTCTTTGATTTATTCATCAGCTTTTGAGTTTTATGCTGCAGGCGGTGCAATTGCAGTGCAAGAGACAACCTTTGTGTCTGGTGCATTCATTGGCGCATTGGTTGGCCAATTCCTTAGTAAAAGCAACAAGAGGATTCGCGTGAAAATCTCAATTTCCAGAAACAGAAGCGGTTCTTCTGTTTAAGGACAGCACTTTCTGCGGATTCGGCACGGTTGGCGTACAATTTGGGGTTTAGCATCCTTCTTTGGTGGCTTGGCGACCGTGACCATGCTGCGGATGCCGGATACGCCGAGGCATGTCAGTGTGTTTCAGATTTTCAAGTGTCATGCCTCTCGTCTACAGTTTGATGCTCGAAGCGCATTCATGGTCACTGTATGTCACTGTGACATAATCCCTTTAGCCCGATTTAATGCAACTTGTCGCTGACCCTGATGCACTGATTCACTCCTCTTGTAGACTGTAGACTGCTTTGCAGTGCTCTGTGGTTTGCATCGTTTTGCACCGTAAAATGTCCTCCACTCTGTGAGAGGTCCATCTATCGACGGGCAGCTCGCAGTGCAGCGACTGAGACATCACAGACACCCGAAGCAGCGCAGCGGCATTTGCTGCAAGTTCTGGAGGCCGACGATTTCTCTGAACCATGTGATCTGATTGAAACATCTGTTGAAACATCTGAAGCCACGGCTCTCAGGAGTTAACCTGTCTTTTCCAGCGTGCAGCACAAATCTCGATTGAGTGAATGTCATATATGATGATGTGTTATGATGTGACTTGTAAGCCAGGTCCAGCTTGATGTGTTCACCCGATTGCCATGATTGAATACCCTCTGAAAAACAGAAAGGATATAAGTATATGTATGTATATATATATAAATCACGAAAGCCAGCCGAAGGCCTGGGCTTGAGTATAGGTATAAGCGAAGCGAAGCGAAGCTAATCTAGGGGGTGTGGGGGGGAGGCCCGAAATCGGTCCGTTTTTGAAAGGTGAGGCCGGAGCCTGGCTGGGGAGAGCTCAAAAACCGACCTGCCGTTTGCCTGGTTTTTTGGGCCCGAACGAGATGCTCCATTTTGGACACTTGTTGGTGGTTTTCGACGGTTTTCATCGGGTTTCAAACGCCGAAACACTGTAATTTACGGTGTTTTTGTGCGTTTGGCCTGGCAAAAGTACGTCTTGCAACATGCTGAAAACTGCGTAAATACCACTGTTTTTGCTAGGTTCTGGCCATAAAACACTGTAAATACCATGGCTTTTGGTTCCAGGAGCAAAAAACACCGCAAATACCGTGGTTTTGGGCTTGCGAGGCGTCAAAAAAACACGGTTTTTTACGGAGTTTTTTGCTCCGAGAATGTTCAAAAAACACGAAAACACCACCTATTTGACAATTTTTCGGCTTTACCTTGTTGGTGGTTCTTGACGGTTTTCATCGGGTTTCAAATGCCGAAACACTGTAATTTACGTTGTTTTTGCGCGTTTGGCCTGGCAAAAGTACGTCTTGCAACATGCTGAAAACTGCGTAAATACCACTGTTTTTGCTAGGTGCTGGCCATAAAACACTGTAAACACCATGGTTTTTGGTTCCAGGAGCAAAAAAACACCGCAACTACCGTGCTTTTGGGCTTGCGAGGCGTCAAAAAACACGTTTTTTTTTTAAAGGAGTTTTTTGCTCCGAGACTGTTCAAAAAACACGAAAACACCAACTATTTGACCATTTTTCGGCTTTACAAATGAAGGTTTAAAAAAAAACATGCCGCAACGTCTCTGTGTGAAGATGTTTCTATGTAAAAGCGTCTCTGTGTAAAAGCGTTTCTCTGTAGATATATCTGTGTGTACAAGGGTCTGTGTGTACAAGCTTCTGTGTGTAAAAGGGTCTCTGTGTAAAAGCTTCTGTGTGTAAAAGCCTCTGTGTGTCATAGCGTATGTATGTAAAAGTGTTTGTGTGTAAAAGCGTCTGTGTGTAAAAGGGTCTGTTTGCAACATTCTGTGTGTGCGTAAAAGGGTCCGTGTGTAAAAAGGTTCATGTTTAAGAGTGTCTGTGTGTAAAAAGGTCTGCGTGTAAAAGCATTTCTGTGTCAAGATGTTTGTGTGTCCAACAGTCTGTGTGCTACTACGACTCTGTGTAAAAGCCTTTCGGTGTAAAGATGTTTGTGTGTAAAAAGGTCTGTATGTAAAAGCCTCTGTGTGTAAAAGCGTATGTGTGTAAAAGTGTTTGTGTGTAAAAGCGTCTGTGTGTAAAAGGGTCTGTGTGCAACATTCTGTGTATGCGTAAAAGGGTCGGTGTGTAAAAAGGTTTCTGTTTAAAAGTGTCTGTGTGTAAAAAGGTCTCTGTGTAAAAGCATTTCTGTGTCAAGATGTTTGTGTGTCAAAAAGTGTCTGTGCGAAAAAAGCGTCTATGTCTCACGGCGTCTGTGTGTGCAAGGGTCTGTGTGTCAAAGGGTCTATGTGTAAAAGCGTCTGTGTGTAAAGCTGTCCCTGCGTACACGGGTCTGTGTGTAAAAGCGTCTGTGTGTAAAAGCGTGTCTGTGTGAAGCTGTTTGTCTGTAAAAGCGTCTCTGTGTCAACGTGTTTCTGTGTAAAGCTCTTGTAAAAGGGTCTGTGTGTAAAAGCATCTGTGTGTCGAAGTAAAAAAGTGTCTGTGTGTAAAAGCGTTTGTGTGTGTAAAAACGTTTGTGTGTAGTCTGCAAGGGTCTGTGTGTAAAAGGGTCTATGTGTTGTTAGCTTCGCAATGCTGGTTCATAGCTTCCGTTTGCTTGCTGTTCGTTCTAAAATTGTATATGTAGCCGTTTCCCGTTCTCCCCAAAAGCGAAATGCAATAGCCGGCCGAATGGCCGCCAAATGGCAGAAAATTGCTTCCAACAGGTTTCTGCTCTGGATCTGGCTCCAAAAGGCTCCTGGCCAGGATTTGGCCTAAAACGGCCGTTTCCCCTTGAGCCCAGAAGGCACTTTTCGTTGCCGGCCCGCAAGCCGCGAAAGTCTTAAAAGCTGGCTCCAAAAGGCCCCGGGCTTGCGAGGCGTCAAAAAACACGTTTTTTTTTTCGGAGTTTTTTGCTCCGAGACTGTTCAAAAAACACGAAAACACCAACTATTTGACCATTTTTCGGCTTTACAAATGAAGGTAAAAAAAACATGCCGCAACGTCTCTGTGTGAAGATGTTTCTATGTAAAAGCGTCTCTGTGTAAAAGCGTTTCTCTGTAGATATATCTGTGTGTACAAGGGTCTGTGTGTCAAAGCTTCTGTGTGTAAAAGGGTCTCTGTGTAAAAGCTTCTGTGTGTAAAAGCCTCTGTGTGTCAAAGCGTATGTATGTAAAAGTGTTTGTGTGTAAAAGCGTCTGTGTGTAAAAGGGTCTGTTTGCAACATTCTGTGTATGCGTAAAAGGGTCCGTGTGTAAAAAGGTTCGTGTTTAAAAGTGTCTGTGTGTAAAAAGGTCTGCGTGTAAAGCATTTCTGTGTCAAGATGTTTGTGTGTCCAACAGTCTGTGTGCTACTACGACTCTGTGTAAAAGCCTTTCGGTGTAAAGATGTTTGTGTGTAAAAAGGTCTGTATGTAAAAGCCTCTGTGTGTAAAAGCGTATGTGTGTAAAAGTGTTTGTGTGTAAAAGCGTCTGTGTAAAAGGGTCTGTGTGCAACATTTTGTGTATGCGTAAAAGGGTCGGTGTGTAAAAAGGTTTCTGTTTAAAAGTGTCTGTGTGTAAAAAGGTCTCTGTGTAAAAGCATTTCTGTGTCAAGATGTTTGTGTGTCAAAAAGTGTCTGTGCGAAAAAAGCGTCTATGTCTCACGGCGTCTGTGTGTGCAAGGGTCTGTGTGTCAAAGGGTCTATGTGTAAAAGCGTCTGTGTGTAAAGCTGTCCCTGCGTACACGGGTCTGTGTGTAAAAGCGTCTGTGTGTGTGTCTGTGTGAAGCTGTTTGTCTGTAAAAGCGTCTCTGTGTCAACGTGTTTCTGTGTAAAGCTATTGTAAAGGGGTCTGTGTGTAAAAGCATCTGTGTGTCGAAGTAAAAAAGTGTCTGTGTGTAAAAGCGTTTGTGTGTAAAAACGTTTGTGTGTAGTCTGCAAGGGTCTGTGTGTAAAAGGGTCTATGTGTTTTTAGCTTCACAATGCTGGTTCATAGCTTCTGTTTGCTTGCTGTTCGTTCTAAAATTGTATATGTAGCCGTTTCCCGTTCTCCCCAAAAGCGAAATGCAATAGCCGGCCGAATGGCCGCCAAATGGCAGAAAATTGCTTCCACCAGGTTTCTGCCCAGGATCTGGCTCCAAAAGGCTCCTGGCCAGGATTTGGCCTAAAACGGCCGTTTCCCCTTGAGCCCAGAAGGCACTTTTAGTTGCCGGCCCGCAAGCCGCGAAAGTCTTAAAAGCTGGGTCCAAAAGGCTTCGGCCAGGATTTGGCTAAAAACGGCTGTTTCCCCTTGATCCCAGAAGGCCCTTTTAGTTGCCGGCCCGCAAGCCGCGAAAGTCCCACAAGCTGGCTCCAAAAGGCAGACGAGCGTTTCCCCTTGATCCCAGAAGGGAAATCCAATTGCCGGCCCGCAAGGCGCGAAAGTCTAAAATCTGGTGCCAAAAGGGTTCTTGCTAGGCTTTGGCCCAAAATGGCCGTTTCCATTTGATTTCAGATGCGGCTCTGTGTCAAGATGTTTCTGTGTAAAAGCGTCTGTGTGTAAAAGGGTCTGTGTGCAACATTCTGTGTATGCGTAAACGGGTCCGTGTGTAACAAGGTTTGTGTTTTTAAAAGTGTCTGTATGTAAACAGGTCTGTGTGTAAAAGCATTTCTGTGTCAAGATGTTTGTGCTAGCAACCGCCTTTACTTCGAGATACTTCAGCGCAGAGACAAAAAAAACCATGAGCATTGCTTTGGGGGCTGGCTTTCGTCCCCCCCCTTCTCAGGTATGTATGTGTGTATATATATATATTATATACACATAACATAGGCATGTATATTCCTATACCAACTTTCTTTCACTGAAACTGCTAGGAGGCTCGCCGTGAGGCTATGAGACTCTTGGCAGCACCCACAAACGCACAAAAACGTACGAGACGAGACATAGGGCCATAGGGAAACCATGGGAAACGGGATAAACTTGACTTTGGAATAGGTTTCAAATGCTTTGACTAGCACGAGGTCCTGTCAAGACAGAAACTCCAAGTAGCGAATCCTGAATGTTGGCTTGCCAACTGAGGCACGATGTGTCAGCTTCGTGGTTTGGACTTCCCAGACCAAGCGATGCTTACTGAGCTTGAGGCCATCGAGAGAACGTCCGGAGACCAAGGAACAACCAGACATAGCACAGCCTATGGCAGCCTGGAGTCCTGGAGTGGTGCCAGGATGTGCCAAATTAACTTCACTTCTATTTTTCTCATGAAGCCGGCAATAGTTATATATAGTTATCCTGTTATCCTCATCATTCCTCATAATTTATTTCAAATTTCTTGAAGCTGCTTGTCAACTCAGGTTTGAGCTCTCGTTTTATTTTTGCTCTGCAGTCGCTGCGTTGATTGGAATTGACGATTTAATTGCTTTCCCTTTTGGGGTTCTTTTTCCTCCCATCCCGAAAGGGAGTAGTTAAATCCAGAGTTCATCCTAGTTTCAGGAAAACATTGAAAATCTCTCCTTGCGATGAATGATGCTTTCTCCTCTCCCCTCCACGTGTGTTCTTTGCCTGCAGGATAGAGAAAGAAAATAATAAATAAATGGACAAATAAATGAATGGATGATAATGAAGGAACAAATAAACAAGCAAACAAACGAACGAACGAACGAACAAACATATAAGTAAACAATGTATATATATATATGCATGTGCCTCTTTGCATATGCCTCTTTCAAAGTACATCTTAAATTTCCCATATTATTGAAAGCACCTAAGCACAATGCCTGGGTCAGGTATGTCTCTGAGCTGAACTTGCGGGGTCGCGCCTCTTCTTCAGACGGACCTCAGGTGCTTGTGGCTGGGTAGTGGAGCCCCTAAGTTAAATGGAGCTCAATCGGACCATGTGTAGCTTGGATGGACATGCTTGGACCATACGGCTGAGTGTAGCTTGGAGTCTCGAGATATTTGAGACGTCTTGAGACATCTCAAGACATTTGTCCTTGAAAAACTTGGGTGAAATTCGTCAATTTGTCCTTGCAGCATGCGCAGGAATGGTGGCAAGAAGAGTTGCCCTTGCTGGAGATCTTGCAGACGCTGTGCTGCAAAGCAAGGGTAAAGGGAGCCACTGCATGGAGAAGTGTATTTCCAGTGTACTTGTTTGTCATTTGCACCAGTTCCAGCCCTTTCTAGTGAAATTGATCCTTTTCTTGTCAAAAGCATTGGCTTTGCCTTTTGTTGTGTGATGGAGTTGCATGGTTTTGAATGACATGGGTGTGCAATCATAGATGAACACATGTAGAGTCGGGGGAGTGCTTACGAATTTCTTGCATTTGACGGCATGGAATACGCCAGGTCACCTGTCCATCTACGCCTTCTACTCGCAGGCTGTGCAGTGAATACATTGCCTGCACTGAGTGGCTACTTGGCCCACTTCATGTCTACTGTGACAACACAGCAAGAGTAGGCAGTATGATGCCTTTGGAGTAGTGCTTCTTTTGGATCTCTCATTTCACCTTTTGTCCCCCCCAAAGTTGCCGCTCTTGTCCTGGCATTACAAATTTAATCAAATTTAGATACCAATGATTTCAAACTTCTCAAGCAAACAACTGGATACAACTGACATTCGACCTTGTCCAGAATCGTCCCGCACAAGGTTCTGAGGCTCAGATGAACTATGCTGGGCAGTACCTGGGTCCCAGCTCAGAGAATGCCTTGTTGATTCATGGTCCACGACCCAAACACTTTGTGAAATCGCCTCACTTGGGACTTCATGAGTCAGGGCACACAAGCATACACAAGCCTTCTTGTAATTTCAACATGATATTGACATATGTGGACACGCCTGTGAACAGACCGGGCACCGCATATATAGTCTATATAGTCTATAGATGTCTATAGTTACTCTAGTCTTCCTGTGAGTTGGCTGAACATGCTGTTGCGCGCAGTTTGCAGCTAGATGCAGCTAGATGCAGAGTGCTAGAGATCCTGCGTAGTTTTTGTCGAGTCAGTTGAGTCAGTTGAGTCAGTTGAGTCACCTGTGTTGCATTTCGCATCTTTCGGCATTTCGCCTCACAGTCCATCCAGTCCATCCTTGAGGATGTTTCGCATGGTTGGCTTCCACTACCAGGATGCGGCTTCCGCAGCTGTGATGATGTACCAATTCTGCACTTGGAGTGTGCAGGCTTGACTAGGCTTGACCCAATGACCCGAGCTTGTTTCGAACACAGCTTAGTTTACAAGTTTTGGACATGCCCGTCTCGAGTCTCGAGTCTTTTTTTGCTTTTAACATTTTCAACATATCTTTCTGCGGCCAACTTAAATGAGCTCTTTTGATCTGTAGCTTGTAGAGGTTGCAAGAACCAAAGCAAACGATAGATCAATCAACATACCGCTTGTACATCAACATATTCGAAGTGAATGCAAACTTGCTGCCTTTTCAGGTATGGGCTAAAATTGGTGCTGGTCTCAGTTGATTTGGAACGAGAAGCATGCGTGCCGCCAATGTGTTGACATGCCATGAGCGGCGATAGGCAATGGCTGCGCCCAGCTTCATGTGGTTGGATGCGGTTGGACGAAGAACACTGCTATCGTATGGCTTGAGGGGGGTGACTTGGCTGTAAATCATCTAGAGTCTTGCGCTCTACTTTTATGATCTTTTGTGCTTTCTTGGGGTCACCAGATGTCACCAGTATCTGTTGTGGACCATTTCACGATGATACAAGTTGAATGATTGACAACAGGAACTTGCTACCAGCTTTGCATTTTAGCTTACTTTAGTTTACTTTAGCTTACTTTAGCTGCTGTAGGTGACAGCCTGCTACGGTCTCTCTGCTATTGGTCTTGCACTTCACAGCTGCTTGGATTCAGCGATGTCCGACTGGAAGCACTTCCTGTTGGCAATGTCAGGCTATGTCGTGTGTATGAATGCGTCGATCGTATTGCAGATGAATCGTTCTACTCTAGGGGAGTTTATTGATGTTTATTGCATGGACCAGACCTTCTATGATATCTTAGTACATCTTAGTACTGTAGCTGGATTTTCACCGAAATTGCATCATTCATCATCCTTGTGGATGCATGCGCTTTGGCCGGCCTGAGGTCCTCACATTTCTGGAGTGGGAATGTTGGCATCACAGGCCGAAGTGCAAGAGGGTTTGTTTCTGTTTCAAAGCGTCGTTTCAAGCCAAGTGACAGTTCATGTATTTTCTGAAACTTTGAGCTGAATTGGCTTGAAGTTGACACTTGTGCAGGCCATATACCAGAGCTGCGTTGGGCCCATTGCATGGATTGTCAGTTCTGAACTCTATCCGTTTCTTGGTAGCAATCCTCGCAAAGATTGGCTGGAGCTTGCTCAACAGAGCCAAAAACACCGGTAGCTGTAGCTCGAATCTTCAAGCTTAAAACTGCAGCAGTGAATGAATGTATCTCATGCTTGGCTAGCAGCTAGGGCCTAGGGCTGCTAAGGTCTGACATGCGGGCGAGAGGTTGTGCCCTGGCTTCGGCCACCTTCTCCATTACAACTTTGCTTTCTGTTCAGTGCCTTGGATGGAGAATAAATTACATAAATATGAATAAATGCATGTATTTCATTTTATTTCATTCATTTCTTATGGAGTTTTTGACATCTTTGACCTTGTGGGTTGCCTACTCAGGTTCCATCCCTTGCTGATTTCTAGGTGCAAGCAGCAGAATGCTCACCACATTAGAACGCCTAAATGCAACTTTGGCAACTTTGGTCCAGTGTTTGTTTCCAGTAATTATTGCTTTGAAGTCGTTTGGCAGGGGACCATTCACCGTCTTCGCAACCTATGCGGCCACTGCACAGGCACAGCACCGGAAACATTTGCAGCTTTGCGGACTTCAATAAACTAAGAGTCTCAGAGCTAAGATGAGTCAAGGTAGATTCAAATTGAGCCAACAGGTTAAAGGTAGAGCGAGGGAAGACTCAGGATGTGTTGTGGATTGTGCCGAAATGAAAGTCTCCCTGATGTGCTGATATGGGATGTGTTGTTGAAAGTTCCGCAGCAAGTGCCGAAAATGTCGGAGTGAGGGGCGCAGACTCAGAAGCGGACCATTCCAGGCTGCCTGGCTGCTGACACGTGTGACCGTCCCCGAAACCAAAGGGAGGTCCTTGGAGGACTGGAAAATGCTTTCAAAACGAGGTTGAGTCTTGGCATGTCTTGGCTTTTGTACATTCTCCGCAGATTTTTTTCCTTTCTGATTCCTTTCTGTTTCCGAGGCCATTGTCTTGGCATGTCAGCCAAAGAAATCAAGTCTTTCCAAACTCAGATTGCATCATAGAAGTGCTCTTCACGAAGCTTTGATATTCTGATATGATCACCGAATAAACTCAATTTTGCAGGAGATCCAAGAAGAAGCTTTCCAAGGTCGCCTTTTCAGGCTGAAATGTGAAACCTGTCCACTGACTAGGCCTGTGGTCCAAGAAACTGTATGGGTAGAGGGTACCAAAAAAAAAACCTGTCCTTCAATTCTGTAAAAAAGGGACTAGCAGAGAGCGATCGCGGTAAGATGATTTGAAGGGTCCTAGTCAGCCCTGGTTGAGATTCGGGGCTCTGTCGCAGGCGGACATCGATAATGGAGGGCCGGTCGCTATTGGGTATTGAGCCAGAGCCAGATGCCGCTGGCTGACCGGCCTTGCATATTTAGCATACAGCAGTGGGGTGTGCCCAAAGAAGACAACCCCAAGATACCTCAAGTTGATTCAAGTTCTAATGTACCCTTTCAGGGTGTTAATGTTGGGGATTCGGTGCGACCCAGTGTGAGGAAGTGGAAACCTCTTGTATTGTGCATGATCGAAGGAAGGCCAAGGCGAATTTAGCAGACACTTGAATATTAACATGATCACTTCCTTGCACAGTGCCGAGCGCTCCTTCCCTGAGAGCGGCAAAGCTTTACCGCAAAAAGAGAGCCTGCTTATCTGTTTTTGATTGTATCTTCATGATCCATTTGCTGCTTCCTTGACAGTTCCCGATCTTTTAGGCACACTTTGGGAACAAGGCGGCATTTCGCGGCTTTACCAGGGAGTGCTGGGAGCCTTACCATATTTGAGTTGGAACAAGACAGGTGTTCAGCAAAGGAGTGCAGTCGCGATTGAGCGCTGCTTGGAGATGTTCCATTTCGTTAGGGGTTCGTTCCTGTTCTCTTGTCGTTTGGCGTCGCTGCTGCTATTTTCGCGTGTAGAGACATGTGCTTCCGGCTACGTGCGTCACAAAGGCAACTTGCAGTTATCCAAGCGCCGCTGTCGCGCTTGGGAGACACCGTCTGGAAGCCCAGGTTCAAGCAATCATAGACTTGCAACTCAACCACAATCTCATGATAGTTGCTGATTGTTGCTGGGAATCTCCTTACCAATCACACCTACTCCTATGCTCACTTTGTGAAGCTGAACCCAACTTGGAGATTTGAACCACGTGTTTGTGACCCAATTCATTGTGTAGTGTAGTTGCCTGTTTGAATCCAGAGTCGCAACATGTCTCAACCCTCCCAAGGCTGCCAATGCTGGAGTGATGCACTTGGATGTCGATGGACTCGATGGACTCGATGGACCGATGTTCTGCAGACGAATCCCGCGACACGTTGGTTCTTTTTGGCTCGATTCGCTCGAGGTTCTGGTCCTCATGGATTTTTATTTTCCGGAAGCACCACTTCCGTTAAAGACAGCAGTGGCCTCTACGGCTGCTCAGCAGAAAAGTCAAAGATGTCAAGCAAAACATGGCTTAATGGCAAAGGGCATCAACGAACAAAAGATGAAGAAGAACGAAGAACATATTCTGATTTATAATATATCCATTGAGACGTGGTGCCCTTCTTTGGAAGAGTAGATGCGGATCAGTTTGAATGAGACTTGTGTGCTCAGGCTGCTGCGAGTTGGCGCATGTTCTTGACTCCCATTGACACATTGAAAACCACCTACCAGGTGCTATTGAGTCAAGCGAATGAGTCAAGTGAGACACATCTTTGGTGGCTTTGATCACATTTGATTTGAAGTCATATTGTACACTTTGCTAGCGAGAGAGGAAATCAAGTTCCATCACACTTAAGGTGCGAGGAGAAAATGGCCTTGAAGTGCTGTTGCGAAGAGTCAAGAAGAATGGTCCGGGCCTCGGGTTGGCCAGATTCCAGCCAAATTTCTTTTTATCAAATCTTTATCACGAAAGCTGGCGGTAGCTAGCTGGAGTTACTCTTGCTTCAGAAAGGGGAGGGGCAGGCCTGAGTCCAACACAGTGATGTTTCTCTCGAACCCCCCTTGCCAGGTCTCTAGGCAATCTGCATTCAGCATATCAAAATCCCATAAAAATCCTATTATTTTCCACGCTCATATGAACCTTAGCCTTCGTTCACCCCGCCTTGGGCCTCAAGTCATCCTTTCAACAAAGCACCGAGCACCTTTGCAGAATGAAGACTCTGTTAAATTGGAAACCAGGAATCAAGCATCCTGCTCTACCTGGCCACAATACTGGTGCTGTAAGGACCTGGAGAGCTCTATGCAGGTGCTATCGCGAACTTCGCAGCCAACTGGGTAGGTGTGGAAACTTGGAAGTTGTGTCTAAGCGGCCGATGCTTCCAGGACTTCTAATCTGAGATGGCAGATACTCGGATGGTGGACACAATTGACATTCTGGATTCTGGATGGACTGCGCTTTCAGACTTCGAAGCACCTGCAGACTTGTGCAACGCTCATGAATAGATGAATTGGTGTCAATGCATCTTGACATATCATGACACTATCATCGCAATCTCAATCGAGGTAATTTGTGATAAATTGCAACGTGCCATCCGCAAAGCCTTAAACGGACCACCGCGTTCTTGTGTTTTCCTTCTTGATATTCCAAGTGTGCGACAACCCTTTCACACTGCACCTTGATTTGTCACATGCCTGGCACTTCATCTTTGAAATGCCATCCCATGAATTTTGTTATTAGTTGGCACTCAAGATGTTCAAGATGGTCTCTCAATCGAGGTAATTATCCATACTTTGTGGTCTTCAATGCTTTGGATCAGGCATGGTCGGTCGTTTCCTCAGCTGGATTTGTGTATGTGCTCCCCAGTACTCCCCTGCCATTTGCATTTAGTTTTGCATCTGACCTAACGCCTGCCCTGTCCATGTGGGATCGCAGCCAGTTGAAGCGAGCCACCTAGGCCCCAAGTGATCCGACAATGCGAATTGTCCGCACTGGGGTTATGGGCCCGGACACTTGGAAAACTGGAGCAATTGCACTGCGACAGATGTAGAGAGAGGGTTGGAGTTGGATGATGTTGGATGATGTTGGATGTGTGCTGATTGTGTGCTCATTGTTGCGATCATTTGAACATCGTGCAATGAGAGGAACATAAATCATCATAAATCTAAGTTTGAAACTCTTGAGACTCTTGAGGCCTTGAGCCTTGTAACATCTTGTAACATCTTGTAACATCTTGTAGCACTGTGGTGCAATGTGTTGGAGTTGTTCTGCGCAGTATCATACAGTCTGAGGCATGTGCTCCAGTATCTCCTCTGTGACTTGGTGTCAGAGTGGGGATTTGGTGCCTGGATGTGCCCGGTGAATCGCGGTGACAAGGGTTTTGGCAGCTAGGCCCAGCTAGGCCCAGCTAGGCAAGATGGCATATTATGGCTCTGGGTTTCGGAGATTTCACAACATGTTTTGGCCAAGGGTGACCTGACCTGAGTGCATGTTGCCCGAGGACACCGTCTCCAATTCCTTCCGAGTGCTGAAGACCATCCGCCAAAGCTCCGAGGCGTCAAAGCTTTCTGCAGCTCTGCAGCTGGCAGTAGGGATTTCGATCACTCCATGCTGATCCGAACTGTCGCCATACGGGTAGGTTTTTCGTTTTTCTGATTTTACCCAGACCAACATCATGCCAACATGCAGAGAAACTCTTGTCCTCAACCCCGCACACTGCAGTCCTTGGTTTCTATCTTTTGAACTTGAGTGCTCTGCCATACGCGGATTTCGATTGGGTGCTTATTTGTTTTCACTGGAGGAATCAGAAGGATATTTGGAATCTGCTCAGAGAGTGATTGAACGCCTGGTCCCTAGACAGACTTGAACTTGGGGGCACGGGTAAAGCCCGGAGTGTCGACGTCCTAGAATGTGGTAAAGTTGTTTGCCCTTTTCCAGTGCAGCTGTACGAAGCCCTTTTCAGCTCCGATACCGAAACCTTTAAAACCTTAGCTATTCCTTTCTCCGGAAGAATGGCAGAGCCTTCCAACACATCCAAGTACTTGGCCGAAGCTTGGCTGCAGCTGCCAGGCATTTCTTCACAGATCAGAGACACATATATAGAGTACATGAAATTATATAAATATGTAATATGATATGTATGTGATATATAGTATATATATATATTATCGAAGGAAGTTTAAAAGTCAATCTTCTGACAATATGGACAGATGGAAAAGCAGAGGTGGTAAGAGTCAGTTAAGAGAAGAGCAGAAGCAAGAAGATCAGAGAAGAGAAAGAGTCAGAAGGAAGAAGATGCAGGCGCGCGAAAAGGTAGAAAAGTCGCGATTCACTGTTTTTCCAATGTTTTGTGGCTCCGGAGGGTCGAAAAGTAGACTCGCTAAAGCGGCGGGCGCGGAGCCATCTCGCCATATGAGAGATGAAAAATTGCGCGCCGGTGTGGCGCGAAGCACATTTCGAAGCCAAAAGTGTTAAAAACTGACGGGTTCGGACCATTTTTGGAAGTTGTGATGTCGAACAAGCGCACGCTGTTGTGGCGCAAAGCGCATTTCCAAGTCAAAATGTACAGAACACCTCATGTTCGGAGCACTTTTGGAAGTTGAGATGTCGAAAAATTGCACGTCGTTGTGGCGCGAAGCACATTTCCAAGTCAAAATGTACAAAGCACACCAGGTTCGGACCACTTTTGGAAGTTGACATGTCGAGAAAGTGCACGCCGTTGTGGCGCGAAGCACATGTCGAAGTCAAAAGTGTTAAAAACTGACGGGTTCGGTTCACTCTTGGACGTTCAGATGTGGTTTTGTCTGGCAAGTGCAAGGAAGGGATTCTGCACCTTGTCAACCGTGAGCAAAACAAGAGGATTTTGTAGCATGTCCAAAAACGATAGCAGGCGTGGGACGTTTCAAGGGGATCTGCAAAGATGCATTTCGCGTGGCAGGCGCAGTACAAGAGACATGTTCATCAGAGATGTCAGGGTGCTGATTCCCCCAGAGAGGTTGCATTTTGGAGCATCAGATCTTCAGGTTTGCTAAGATGATTTTGCATGACAGGTGCAGCACTTCGTATGACCCGGCCTTACTTTTTCGTGGCAGGCGCAGTACTTTAAACAGATGGAATGGAAAAATCGCAAAACGCATTGGTACGAGGCTGTCAGCTCTGCACTCAACTTTCCATTTTTGAAGAAAGTCTCGCAGTATTGCTGCGTTTTTGATGCTGCCAAGGGAAGTCTCGCAAAATTGCTGCGTTTTTTCTGTTGTCAACTTCAACAGTTAAGGAAGTCTCACAGACTTGCTTCGTTTTTGATGCTGTCAAGTTCAAAAAGTGAGGAATTCTAGCAGAATAGCTTCGTTTTCAAGCTTGCAGATAGATAGATAGATAGATAGATAGGTAGACAGATAGATAGATAGACAGCCAGCTACAACTACAACTATCAGAACGACTACCACTACACTACACTACACTACGCTACGCTACACTACACTACACTACAACTACAACTACAACAACAACTACAACAACAACTACAACAACTACAACAACTACAACAACTACAGCAACTACAACAACTACAACAACTACAACAACTACAACAACAACAACAACTACAACAACTACAACAACTACAACAACTACAACAACTACAACAACTACAACAACTACA